TGTGTGTGTGTGTGTGTGCGCGCAAATGAGAGAGATTTGTGTGTGTGTGTGTGTGTGTGTGTGTGTGTGTGTGTGTGTGTGTGTGTGTGTGTGCACGCAAATGAGTTTTGTGTGTGTGTGTGTGTGTGTGTGTGTGTGTGTGTGTGTGTGTGTGTGTGTGTGTGTTAATGGGTGTTTTTTTTAACCCATTTTTCAAACATTCATTCATTCATTCATTTTCTTGTCAGCTTAGTATCTTTATTAATCTGGGGTCGCCACAGCGGAATGAACTGCCAACTTATCCAGCATATGTTTCACTTCCAGCTGGAACCCATCACTAGGAAACACCCATACACACTCATTCACACACATACACTACGGACAATTTAGCTTACCCAATTCACCTACACCACATGCTTTTGGACTTGTTAGAGAAACCGGAGCACCCGGAGGAAACCCACGCCAACATGGGGAGAACATGCAAACTCCACACAGAAACGCCAACTGACCCAGCACCCACTGCGCCACGGTGCTGCCCATTCTTCAAACATATTATATTTATTGTATATAAAGACACACACACACACACACACACACACACACACACATATGTATATCATATATAAATTTAAACACCTTTAAAGTGTTGATGCATTTAAACCACAAATGCTTCAGCTTTATAAGAATGTAAGTCTTATATAGTTGACACATTGGCAAAAATATTACCTGATCCGCACTTTCACAAACATAAATAACTCACGCAAAACAACACATCTGACGCTCATGCAAACGACAGCAATATCCAGAATCACATTAATTGGATAAATAGCACCGAAAATCCCCTCTTGTGCATTTTCAGAGCAAATCAGCAGTGCAAATGAACCTGAACATCCTTAAACATTCAAATTAAATGTGTTTTTGGGCTGGCGCTGCAACGGTGACCCTCTGAGAGACCCTTTCTGCAGCCGGCAGCAGAATATTTCATCACTTCACAGCAGACAAGACACCGCTCCCTCCTTAGAGAGCTAAAACAACACAAATCACACTGCCAAGTGCACTACAGCACTAGAAGTGTGCACACTTTTTGTTATTTTGCAATGATAATGATAACATATAATAATATTCCTTCGGCTTAGTCTCTACTTAAGAGGTCACACAGCGGAATAACCCGTCAACTATTCTGGCATATAGGAAGCACCACTCATACACTAATTTAGTTCATCAGTTCCCCTATAGCGCATGTGTTGGGACTGTGGGGGAAACCGGAGCACCCGGAAGAAACCCACAACCCCACGAGGAGAACATGCAAACTCCACACTGAAACACCAACTGGCCTTAGTCAAGGCACGAACCAGCAACCTTCATGCTGTGAGGCGAACGTTCTACCCACTGCGCCACCGTGCTGCCCATTATTACCCCCACTGCTGATTAATTAATGAAAGAGAGCGGTTTCTGCATATACACTGCTGCAGGTTCGCTCTGGTGTTGTTCACTAGTACTCAATGACGAACTCTGCTGTAATTGAATCAGAGCTGTGTGTGTTCCTCGATCCCTCTGTGACCTGCAGCCTATTAATGTAAACTAACAGCTTTAATGATACACGTCTGATCCACTGGGAGACCTGCATGACTGATTACAGCCAGACAGAGAGCGAGAGAGAGAGAGAGAGAGATACACACACACACATTTGTTTTAGTGAATTCTGAGGACAACCCACAGGTTTGCATTGTTTTAAACTGTACAAACTCTGTTTTATATCCCTCTACCCCTAAACCCACCCCTCACAGAAAACTGTGTGTTTTTCATTCATTCATTCGTTCATTCATTCATTCATTTTCTTTTCGGCTTAGTCCTTTTTTTAATCCGGGGTCACCACAGTGGAATGAACCGCCAACTTAACCAGCATCTGTTTTACACAGCGGATGCCCTTCCAGCTGCAACCCATCTCTGGGAAACACCCATACACACTTATTCACACACACACACACCCTACGAACAATTTAGCCTACCCAATTCACCTGCATTGCATGTCTTTGAATTGTGGGGGAAACCGGAGTGCACCCGGAGGAAACCCACGTGAATGCGGGGAGAACATGCAAACTCCACACAGAAACGCCAACTGAGCCTGTCATGTTCACCACAATGAAGTACTGCAGAGATCGCTGGTGAACTACAATTTAGTCATGAACTACAAATCCCTACACATTCCGCTCCACATACACCTGCTGAATCCTGTCACTATTGATTGTTTGGACTATTTATACACCCTGCACCCGTTTGTTGTTACCGAGTTGTTTGTTTTGTGTATGGTATGTTGTTCATGTGCTGTGCTCCCGTACCTTGCCTTAGTTTCTTGTTATTGATCTTTTGATACTTTGATTTTTGGATGTCCTTTTGTTTTTCTGTTATCCGCATTAAATGCACTTGGGTCCTACCTTTTTGTATCCGTCTTTTCACTGTACCATGACAGCCAAAGGCTCGAACCAGTGGCCTTCTAGCTGTAAGGCGACAGCACTACCTACTGTGCCAACGCGCCACCCCTGTGTATTTTTACTTTGCTTTTTTTTTTTAAATGCTTTTGAAAAATGCACATGAGCAATGTCCTCCTTCTCCAGTAATATCTGTCATTCCAGTGTCATTTATTTATTTATTTATTTGTTTGTTTGACATGGACATCCCAATTACACTGGACAACCAACTGCATTTGTTTAAGTGTTTTAGCCTCTCCACAGAGGCTTGAAAAAATTGACAAAATTAAAAAATAATAAATACATAAACACAACATTATAATTCTTTACACAATATTAATGAAGGCAAAAGCAAAGGCGACATGATCCAACAAACTAACAGTAGAGTAGACCATTGATATATACACTAGATATCGCATAGGGACCCTGAGCATGCGTCAATAGCGCCGCCACATTGGTACAGGGCTCCCAGGACAAATGTCATTCAACCGCACTAGACAAGACAGTGTTATTACGTGAAGATGCGGGACTTTAGCGCTGTCTACGGGTGTAGTAACGAGCAAACAAAGAAAACAAAGCACAAAGGCAGAACATTTCATAGGTGATATTAAGTTTTTTCTGTTTTTGTATGTTCTGAACTTTTGTGCTAGTCAGGTCACGTTATTGATGATAATACAGTCACTTACTGCATTCACCATACGGCAAAGCAGCTCCAACTCGCACTAAACACTCGGCTTATGCTAGTTGTGTTGAATAAAATCAGCAAACAATGCCAAAGAAATACAACAACGAGATGCTGCGCAGCCAGAAACTTGTATTATTGTCGGCTAACGTTAGTGAATGAGTCGTTCAGGGGATTCATTTACAAACTAATCGCTCCCTCCGTCAGTATGAGCAGTGAAAGCAGGAGAGGAGCTGTGTTTCAGGACATGATTAGATCAGATTTAACAGGGAGGGTGGATAGTACATTTCTGTACACACAAACACAAGCTTTTTGTCAGGAATGCCCGTGCGGTCACTGATCCATCAATGTAGAAAAGTGATGTCAAATTAACATTTTCGTAAATAGAAAAAAAAAATTACATACTAACATCCTGGAAAACTCCCGATCACAGATATATGTGTATATGTGTATATCTCTGGCTTTGGATGGCCACAGTCCTCCACTGCACCTTGGTCCCGCATTCATTTCAAAGGAGCGCTACCCTGTACCAAGATGGCGGCGCTATTGACACATTCCGTCCAATAGACAACAATAGGCCAGGCGACATCTAATGTATATATATATATATGACAGTAGACTTACTTACTTTCTGATTTTAAGCTAACGGAAAAATCATTCTACAGTTTGACTCTCTTTACAAAGAAGTCAGATTGGCCAAAGGAGGTCTTACACTTTGGCAGTAGACAGTCACCGTTAGCAGTTGCTCGTGTAACTCAGGTTTGATGCCGACTGATTAGATCCGAAAACAGGATTGGAACATGATTATTTAAACAATTAAAAAACAATTTAAGATAATTAAATTTGATAAAACTATCAAAAGGTTATGTTTACATAAAACTTCACAATGATGTCATCGCATAGGCTTTCAGTCCATCATTTCACTGCTTGTTTAAATATCGAGTCAACAGGCTTCAATGTAGTTTAAGAGGCTTGTGATCAAGATGTAATGCAATACGTGAGAGAATATCAGAATAACCATGTATTGGTTGTTTTTACCTATATTAACTATTTGTGAGAATTGTTTGTTTTAGCTATAATTTTATACTTGTTCTTTGTGAATTATTGTTCAGCACATTGGTCAACCTTTGGTTGTTTAATAGTGCTATATAAATAAAATTGACATTGACATTGTGTGCATGTATAATTCTGCAGTTTGATATGTTAAAAACCTTCTAATAAAACAAAAACAGTTTAGACTTGGCTTAACTTTCTTACTTTTTAACATGACTATCACATTTTTAATTAATGTCTAGAGTTTTGCCAAGATCCTTAAATTCATTTTACACACATTAGTGTCTTCATTTGTCACACACACTCACTCACACACACAGGGTGGGTTTAGTGATTTGGCGGGGCCTAAACAATTACAGCCATAAGCCATAAGGCCCAGAAGTCCTAATGTGCACCCTTTGGATGTGTGTGCACTCACCGGCCACTTTATTAGGTACACATACATGATATTACCAGACCTTAGAGTTTAAGTTAAATAAAAGGTAACACTTCATTTTGATGGTCCATTTGAGTGTGAGTAGACTGTCTGCTTAATTAATTTTGCATTTTTGAGTGCATGCAGCAGCAGTTTATGAACATGCATGATGTTAAAAAGAGGAAGACCTTGAGCCCGGAGACACAAACACATAGACAGAAAGACAAACACACACACAAACACACACACACAGACAAGTAGACAGACAGAAGCACACTCACAAAGAACGGGAGACACACACACACACACACACACACACACACACACACAGAAAGACACATGCATTT